TCCCGAGCTCTGTTTTCAATGGCAGAGTGCTCGGGCCACTACAGGTGTCCCCGACACGAGTGACGTTGAGCTGACCATGCCCACCCAGCTTCCTGAGGGAAAACACAACCCTGATGTGGCCCTCAATGAAATCGAGTTTGACACCCTTGGCCTGGATATATGCTGATTTGCTCTATATTCCTTTGCTTGATTGAAAATGTAAACTTTCATCATTTTACTCCAGAGTTTTAAAATACTTTCTCTATTGCCACAAGAAAGTCAGTGATGTGAGATTTTTTTTTTTGCATTGAAAGTGACTTGAGCTGATTTATACTCTAAGAATTTTCCATATTATTAGCCTTTCTAAAATAAGTCCTTTGTTTCAATTTTTTAAAATATATCCTTGCTTTTTATTTTAAAGAAGGCAGAAATTTTCTCTTTTTTCTTTCTTTCTGCTGTGACAATTATTCTCTCAGCTGCTTCTGTGTTACTCTGTGGCTAAATATCTATTCTCTGTGTCTTTGAACACTCTGCTGAGAAAGTTTGGCTATAAGGGAGACTTGGACTATATTAAAATCAAAGCAATAATAAATGAAGTCTTGGAATATTATATATTACGTATTCTCTTTAATGCACCCAAAAAGAGATTTGGGAGGAAGATAAATGGGACACAGCAGTTTTAAACATTAAAGACTTATTGGAAACTTTTGAAAAAACAATGTTTTGTCCTATACACTTTTTTCCTTTGTTTTTGTCTTTGTTTTGAATTCTTTTTGTCTTTTTTTATTTGACTTTGACTTGGGAAACAAATAAAAATTGTGTGTGTGTGTGTGTGTGTGTGTGTGTGTGTTGTGTATAATACATACACACACACACATCTGAATAGCATGAACTTACTCCTCTCAGAGTAATACTAGAAATTTGATGATGATTAGAATAGAAAAGCTTCAAATGACACTTCTCTATGTACTATTCAACAGAAGATATTTTGGAGTTAGGTAGGAACACTGCTATTATTAGCTTGATCTACTGACATATTGTCATAAACAATTACAAATGTTTTATGAATTACAAAGTGAACATCAGAAGAATCATATATGGATTTTGTGCAGTGTGTGAAGGCTCTCAGTAGCTTGTTTTTTTACACTTCAGAAAAAGAGTAAACTAATTAACATCAACTTCCCAATGACATTGTAGGTATGAAAATTTTCAAAGACTTATAATCCTGCTGCTTAGCTCTTTTTCACCCAATTATTTTGCACTTACTGGTCTGAAGAAAAAAAATAGTTTCCTTACATCACTTCATTGATCAATGTCCGAGAGGGATCTTCTGTGAAGGAAGGGCTGTTGTGAAAGAAAAAGGCTTGAGAGGTAATCATCCCCAAAATAACATTTCCTGGCTGAGCAAATTGATGGGGGATTGGAAGTGGGTCATCAGGTATACTACAATTGATAGCATATGTTTTGCATGTAATGCAGAACAGAAATACAAGGAGCATCATTCTTGTCAATCCCACCCTATTATTGACAATTGTTCCTATTCAGAAAAATATCCAATCTCTAGGATAAACTGCAGGGCATCATTTTCCATTATCCTTATACTGTATATATGGTCTCTAAAACATTTGCAACCTTCTACTTACTTAGAATAGAAATGCTTCAAATGTTAGTTCTCTATACTATTCAACAAATTATATTCTGAAGATAGGAAAAAGCACTCCTATTATTAGGTTTTCTGAAAATTGAGTTTAATAAGCTAAGGAAGGGACCTATAATTCTGATGATTGGAGAAATAATCAAGTCCTTTTCAATTCTCAATAATTTGCACATCTCTCCTGAGAAAAGAGCTAGAAATCTGTATTTAATTATTGTAACTTGCTTTGGGGTTTTTTTTTACACCATGAAAGTGCCATGAGCCTTTTTTTATAAAATGTTCTGACAAATATCCAAGTTAAACTTCATATACAATAAATTTATGGAAGTGATTAAAACTGAAAAGCATGCTAGGTAAAAGATTGGTTTTCGTAAATACATCAGTCAGCCTTAAGTTGTCCTTCAAAATCAAAGAATTGTTTTGGTAGTTTGCCCTGAGTTATTTTAATATTTATCTTAGATGTTTGGCCCAGTTGTGGGGTAATCAATGAATTCTAATCTCCCATCAAACACCAACTTTCATAAGAAATCCTCTTAATTCCTTGTAGATTGTTTATAAATCACTACTTTGTCCTCAATTCTCAGTATCAATATCTTAGTTCCATGTAAAATAATTTCCAACCCAGCCAATCTCGAATGCTCATCAGTCAATGCAATTCCTGTGTTAATGTGAAAATTTATACACAAAACGATTTGTGTAGGAGCCTGGTTTAACTCAACAGACAGAAGCACTGTAATTTAACACCAGCTGTCTGCAATTAAAGTAAGATCGAATCTCGCCAGGCTCAAGGTTGACTCAGCCTTCCATCCTTTCTAAGGTAGGTAAATTGAGGACCCAGTTTGTGGGGGCAATAAGCTGACTTTGTATAAATATACAAAAGTATGAAGGCTATTGCTTAACGCACTGTAAGCCGCCCTGAGTCTCCGGAGAAGGGCGGCATATAAATCAAATTTTAAAAATTTAAAAAAAAATTATTTCTTTCTCTCTTTTTTTTTCTTTTTTCTTTTTTCTTTCTTTCTGAAATATGTTCTTTACCCAAAATTTTATAAATCAAATATTTTGTGACTTTCTTTTAAAATGTGATGGAGGATGCAACTGCAGGAGCAAAGTTGGAGAGTTTGGGCAATGCAATGATTTCTCAACATAGGGGGTTAAAAACAGTGGTGGGATTCAGCCAGTTCAGGCCGATTTAGGCAAACCAGTTGTTAAATTGCTGGCTGGCTCTGCCCCACCACTTTCATGAGTCCCCACCTGCTCCATTTTGGCTCCCAGGTAAGTGCAGGAAGGCCTACTAGGCCCACAATGGGGCACAAGTAGATACGGTGTGGCCCCATGGCCTGTTTTTGCTTCCAGGAGGCTGCAGGAGGCCTACTAGGCCCAAAATGGGTGAAGGGGAAGCACGACCCCCACGGCCTATTTTTGCACGCAGGGGGATGCAGGAAGCCGAGTGCTGCCTGTCACATCCCCTAGCCACGCCCACTAGCATGGCTAGGGGACATGGGCATTAGGGCAGAGAACCAGTTGTTAATTTATTTGAATCACACCACTGGTTAAAAGTTTAGTAAGTTGGGTTATAGTTATACTTATAGAAGGGCAGCATGAGGAGATGAAGGAAACCCTGAAATGCTCTGCACCCTTAACTAGTCTAACTTCTTCAAAATGGTTGTTAAGTCTTGTCCAATTGCTAGTTACCATGAAAAAGCTCAATGACAATTCAAAAAGACTGTTTGAGGGGACTGAAAGAGAGCAACATTTGTCCCTGCCTTGATTAGCATTGGAACAGGTTATGACTCATTGACAGAAACAGGTTATGACTCATTGACAGAAAGGGTTTATTGAATCGATTTCCAAAATTACTGTTTTATGTAATATATGGGCTTATTATCAAATCTTTCTCTGGCTCAGAGAATGTTAAGTGTTTTGACTCTTGAAAGTGCTATGATACATTTTTTTTTCATCAAATTTCCTAAGAAATAGACAAGTCAGCCTTCAGTCACAATAAATAGGTAATAATGATTAAAACTGAACAATGTACTAAGCAGAACATTCATTTTTATCACGGCAGTTCTTCACAACAATACTACTTGTAGTTTCTCCCATCTTCACATATCTTTAATTTCACCCCATGTTTTTAAATAGTTATTCTGAAATAACTATTTAGTAAGGTAACTCAATGTTCTGTCTTAGACCCAGTACACTTTAACATGTTCATAAATGACCTACATGAGGAGACCGAAGGAGAATCCATCAAATCTGGAGACAACACCAAGATGTGGGAAATAGCTAACACTTTAGATAATAGACTCAAGAGTCAGAAATATCTTGGCAGAGTTGAACACTGGGCCCCATATAACAAAATACAACTCATTGGTGAAAAAAGTAACTGTAATATAGTTAGTTACAATTAGTGGATAATATAGTAAACTGCATTATCCACTAGTTTAGTCACTATGTCAAAAAAGACAATAAGCTTTCATTGTCTTTATCTGTTTTTGACTAACCCATCCTTTGATTGTCTCTTATGTTTTATCCCTTATTGTACATAAATCATGTTACTTTATGCAAAAATGAAGACAAAATAAAATTCTTTAAACATTTCATAGATCAGTAATCCCTCTCCTCTTATTAAAACATGGTCACTTGTCAAGTGGAATACAGCAACCTCTTCTATTTTTATGGAATATCAACTAGGTGGATTAATCCCTTAAGTGAAAAAAAATGCTTTATTTACGGTGACCTAGTTTAAACAAGAAGGAAGAATTGGGAACAGAAAGAAAAGTTTGTTAGTGGTTCACATATCTACAATTAAGAGATAGCTTTAACATAGATAAGAAAAGATGTGGCTTTAAATTTGGAAAAAGTAAATTTGAAATTGCATGGTGTCTTAATGATGAACATGTTAAGAGATGAGGTTTCCAAAATGTTATTGAAATTGAATTTGGAAAAGAACTATGATAAAGGTTTCATGATTCAATGGATAATTTTTTGGGCTACAATATAAGGATTGAGAAATGCGAAAATATGTGGATTTTGGACTGAATTTTATATTCAATTATAAACTGAAAGAAAACTTCTATAAGATTGGTATTACTGACACTTATGTTTATATTAATCAAAATTTACATTCAGGTAATCATCATTCGCATTAAACTGAATAGAACACATCCATTCTTTGCTCTTGAAATAGATCTATTTTACAGGCTTCTTTTTTTCATATCAAGTTTTATGAATAAATTCAGTTAAATCAAGGTCAGGGTGATTTTTCTGAATTCCAGCAAGGTAAATTAATTTACCAAAAAAAATCCACAAAAACAGTTCACGATAATCTAAAAATCATTTTTTTTAAAATACAAAAAGGAAAAGACAGTTACTGTTCCATCCTTACTAAATTTTCTTTCTTGTTCATCTCAGGTCTCATTAAAATGATGTAGCATTTGGGGCAAAATATACACCCCAGTAAACCAGCACTGGAGGATAAGATAGAGAAGATCTCCACAGCTACCATGTATTTCCCTTTGGTGCTCAGGTAGGTTGGAACAAACGTCAGCCAAACACTGCAAAAGACCAACATGCTGAAAGTGATAAACCTGGCCTCATTGAAACTGCTGGGAAGCTTCCTGGCTTGGAAAGCAATGTTAAAGCTGACAATAGCCAGGAAGCCCATGTAACCCAAGACAGAGTAAAACATGATCACCGAGCCTTCATTGCATTCCATAATGATTTCTCCCTTCAGGGACTGCCAATCTGTATCTGGGAAAGGGGGAGAAGTACTCAGCCAAACAGTGCAAATCCCCACCTGGATGAAAGAACCTGAAAGGACAATAGAATTGGCCAGTCCTTTCCCTACCCATTTCCTCAATCTGGATCCTGGTTTAGTTGCCATAAATGCCAGAATCACAATCATGGTTTTTGCCAATACAGATGAAAGGGCCACTGAGAAGATAATGCCAAAAGTTGTTTGTTGGAGAAGACAAGTCAACCTTCCAGGTCTTCCCATGAAGAGAAAGGAGCAGAAAAAGCAGAGTAGAAGGGAAAGGAGGAGGACACAAGTGAGGCTCCAGTTGTTGGCTTTGACAATTGGAGTCTCTTGATGCATCCAAAATATTCCAAGCACGAGGACTGTAATCAAAGAGAAAACAGTAGCCAATGTAACAAAGAGGATTCCTAAGGGTTCATCATAAGAGAGATAGGTCAACACTTTGGAAATACATTGATTTTGATTATTGTTGGGATATTCATTGCCTGGACATTTCATGCAGACATCCATATCTGGAAAAAAGAAAAAAGAAGATATCTTTCCAATATATCAAACTTTCTATCAGTATAGAATATATAGAGTACAGTTGATGTTAATACAAGTGATCTATTTTGTGAAGAGAGGATAGCAATTATTTTTTCAATGAAAAAACAAACATGAGTCTCATAAATTTAAACCCGCCCTCCTTCATTATGCACACAGGTATTGATTGAAAATCAAAATCAAATCAAAATGTTTTCTGTTCCTTCTCTTCATTTGTAAAATGAGGTTACTAATAGGCAGTGATGAAATGTAAAATTTGTTACTACCCGTTCTATGGGCATGGCTGGAGGGGGGGGTAATGACTGAGTGGGCGTGGCCAACTTTTTTTTTTTTACTTTTAAAACCATTTTTCTACAATCTCTTTGGCCCAAGACGTTATAAAAATGCTTTTAAAAGTGTCTGATGATCAGGCAACTCAGCTGGGATCGTCAGAGCCTTTTAGAAGCCTTATTTTTACAACCTCTTCATCCCAAGAGGTTGTAAAAAAAATGCTTTTAAAAGGTTCTGACAATCCCAGCTGAGTTGCCTGATCATCAGAGGCTTTTTTTTCTTTTAAAATCCTCTGACGATCCCAGCTGAGTTGCCTGATCATCAGAGGCTTTTTTTTTTCTTTTAAAAGCATTTTTTCTACAACCTCTTTGAGAGGTTGTAGAAAAAATGCTTTTAAAAGCCTCTGACGATCCCAGCTCAGCTGCACGATCATCAGAAGCTTTTTTTTTTTTTTTTACTTTTAAAAGCATTTTTTTGGCCGAAGAGGTTATAGAAAAAATGCTTTTAAAAATTAAAAAAAAAGCCTCTAATGATCATGCGGCTCAGCTGGACATGGGTAGGACAAGGATTTTTGCTACCAGTTCTCCAAATCACCCGCCACCCTCATTACCGGATCGGTGATCCGGTTTGAACTGGGAGCATTTCACCCCTGCTAATAGGCTCTTACGGGTCTTTAAGAAATTGTTGGAACAAGAAATTGGACAGCCAAATTAAAAGTTTTAATGAATCATAGACTACTTTTGTTAGATAGAATTCATATTCAGTAGGAAACTCTAAATTCTCATTTTATTGCAGATGTAAAGAGAGTAATACTTCACTCAATTATATTTTGTCACATCTTATATATTATACAGCAATTTGTCCTTTGTACTAATTTGACAAATTTAATTTTAGCATATTTTTGAACTACATCTCCACTAAATGGAATGTCATAGCTGAATAATGGAAATCAATCCCATCTCCTTTTTTGTTTTGCTCAGAGACTAGTCCTTCAACAGTGGAAGGATAAATTTATGTCACAGATTACTCAGATACATTTATAACCTGGTGTTGCCTTAGCCCATGAAGGAATTCCTTTAAAATTGATTTATACCCTGCTAATTACATTGCAATATGTCATCATAAAACAATTGATATCAAGCTGCCTTTCACTGAGGACCTATATCCTGCAGAGCCAGAAAGAGGGCTGTGAAAATATCTACAAACCCCTCAGAACCTGGACATAAACTGTTTCAACTGCTCCCCTCAAAACTACACTATAGGGCCATGATGGTGAACCATGATGGCGTGCCTGAAGTGGCACGTGGAGCCATGTCACCTGGTATGCACGGCATCGACTGTATATCTTCTGGGTTTCTGGTGCATATGCACATGCAATGATCAGCTGGCCTTTGTGCATGTAGCAGTGCCGGAAACAGGAAGAGCTGGTCTGTGAGCCAGGAATGTGGCTTCCTCGAACTTTGGAATTGAGAGTGTCCAGAAAGAAGGAGGACCAATGGGAATTTACCCTTCTGCAGCATCATCGGTCTCCAGGCAGAGTCTCCCTTGACTTCAGCCAATGGAGGAGAGAGTTCTGTGCAGAGAAGAAGCCCAAGTTGATTTTTCAGGCCAAGATCCCCTCTCCACTTTCTCCGCTTCTCTCTCTCCGCAGAACTGGTTCTTCTTCTTCAGGTGAAGTCCCAAAGGACTCTGCCTGGAGACCGATGATGCTGAAGGAAGGAGAATTCTCATGCTGCCCCTTGTTCTGGCCCCTCCCATCTCAAAAGTCAGAGATAAACACCTCCTCCCCCTCAATGCAGAACTGTGGATTCCTCATCTAGGGCTGGAAGCATCTGGCCAGGCACACATGCGTGTGAGCATGCGTGTCATGAGCATGTGGGCAGCCAACTTGCTGGCGCATGCATGGCAGTAACTGGAAGACTTGCTGACCATTGTGCATGCATGGGCTGGAAACTAGAAGTACCTCATCTGGTGTGCGCACATGCCCCCTGGACACGTCCTCTTCCTGGTCATGGCCCTGACAAATGCTTGCATGCATGTGAAGTACTCCCTTTTCGGCACTCGGTGCCAAAAATGTTTGCCATCACTGCTATAGGACATTGCATGCCAGAACAACTAGACACAAAGAAAGTTTTTCCCCCATGCCATCACTCTGCCAAACAATTCCTAATTCCTACAACACTGTCAACACTAGTAAGGCTGTATTACTATTATTCTTCTATTATCTATCTCATTATCTTCTTATGACTATAACTTTATTGCTTGTATCTTATGATTTATATTGTTTATTTAGTATCCTATGATGATCACTAAGTGTATTTTATAATTTATGATGAATGTATTTTTCCGATAACTATGATCATAATATATCACATATTGTTTGTATGTAGACTGAGAGCTTATGCATGGGAGACAAATTCCTTGTGCTCACATTTGGCCAATAAAGAATTCTATTCTATTCTATTTTTAAAACTTTTGTTTAAAATTTTAATTGCATATATACATGCATGAGAAGGAGATAAATGAGAGAGCAAGACAAGGAGAAACCGAGAGAGAAAAGAAAGAATATTATGGACAGGTCTTTTCCTTATGTACTTTTGTTTTTGCTCTGGTTCATGTGGTTCTCTTTAAATAAATCAGAGCTCTAGATTGGATTTTTGCTAGTCAGTAAGCCAAACTCCTCTTTTTGACCTACCTATTTTATCTGAGATTTGTCCTTCTGAACAGGGCACACAATCATAGCAACAAAATTTCTCTCCTTCCTTCTTCTTTCTGTAGGACCCTGGATAGCAGTGGTCATTGCACACAGATAGAGGAAGCACCTGGACAATAATATATATGTGAGAATCAAAGGATAAAAAACTTGCATTAATAGAACTTCCCAACATAGGAAGCCACAACCAGGATGAAGAACCAGAAAAAAATGCAAATGAGACTTGAGTTAATGAATTGGCATTGACTTCTTTGGATATTCTATCAGAGGACCTAGAATGGCAGAAAATTATGTTTTCATAGGATCTGACAGGTATTTGGATTACTTCTAATGGATTGATTAGTTAATATTTTTTGATTGAAGATAAGCAAATGCAATCTAGGGCCATTTGCAGCCAGAATGTTTAAAACCAGAATGTGGCACTACAGATAGTCTGAGATATACAAACACAATGGGATGCAGAATTTCAATCATAAGATACTGCAGTTCAAAGTCAGGATACAGATTTTCATTAAGGAAATCTGCCAAATTGGCACTTGTTTGCTGGTAATTAGCTAAAAATTCTCCAGATCATTTTTATGTGACCATGGGACTCTGAGCCAATTGCCATGTACCAGAAATGTGATCATGTAACAATTGCTTCAAAGAGCAATTTACTTCTATTATTAGTTGACAATCTGCAGCTGCTTCTCACCTGGTTAAAGCTTCTGTGCCATACAATTTGATTGTCATCAAGAGTTAATTCTCTGCCTGGTGAAGCCCAAGGTTCAAAGGTTCCAACCTTCACTCGAGAAAAGGAATTATTGGGGAAAGTAATCCAGTTTGCAACATCAAAAACCGTAATCAGTTGTCTGTTTTCATTAAATATAATAGTGTCTCCCACACTGTTGTTGAATATGATGCTTTTCAAGAAAGAATGGAACTATATATTTTTTTTAAAAAGAAAGAAATTAACAGCAAGACTTTGTAATCATAACAAACTAAAAACTATTTCAGGCTGAACTAGCCTGCTTTGAAAAATACAAATGAGGATTGAATGTGCTTCAAGTCCTTTGGTAAGATGTCCACAACTGCTTTGCCATTGCAACCTTTCTAGGACTAAGAGAGTCTGGGTAGTCTAAGCTCACAAACTGGCTTTGTGCCTAACCAGGAGTAGAAGTCCCAATTTCTAATCTGGTGCATTAACCAAAGTGGTTGTCATCCTATATGTTCCATATTTTACAATATGGAACATGTATGATGACAACCAGTGTCTTATCTTCAAGACCGCCTTCTACCGCATAGCTCCCAGCGACCGGTAAGATCCCACAGAGTTGGTCTCCTCCGGGTCCCATCAGCTAAACAATGCTGGCTGGTGGGCCCACGGGGGAGGGCCTTCTCTGTGGCTGCCCCAGCTCTCTGGAACCAGGTACCTCCTGAGATCCGGACCATCCCCACCCTATTGGCCTTCTAAAAAAGTGGTGAAGACCTGACTTTTCTGGCAGGCCTGGGGCCATTGATCTCGCTCTTGCAATCTGGCGAGATCTGGCCATGAATGGTATAAATGAGTTTTTAATGTTTTTAATTTTTTAATGTTTTTTTTATTAGGATTTTAAATGTATTGTGAGCCGCCCTGAGTCTTCGGAGAGGGGAGGCATATAAATTGAATTAAATTGAAATTGAAATTGTCTGTCTTTCATCTCATTAATTGTTGACTGTTAATCCCTTTTAACCACCACTATATGAGTCCCACTTTTAAAAAATACTAAATGTAATTGTTGCTTTGCTTGTTCAAAGCAAAGATTTATGCTATATAAATTATAATGGGTTTTATGATAAACAGATTTTTCAGGAACATGAGAGAAATTAACTCACAATGATTTGCCTAATTAGAAAACCCACATTTTTTTGGCTGAAATATGAACACACTGCAGAATGGATTATCAAATAGTGTTTCTCAAATTCCATGACAAAGTGGCCAGTCCTCATTGACACAGATGAATTATCTACATCAGGGGTTTCCAACAGTGGTGAAATGTAAAATTTGTTACTACCGGTTCTGTGGTGTAGCTTTGTGTGTGTGTGGGGGGGGGGATAATATGACTGAGTGGGCATGGCCAACTTTTTTTTTTTTTTACTTTTAAAACCATTTTTTTTACAACCTCTTCGGCTGCTTTTAAAGCCTCTGATGATCCCAGCTGACTTGCCTGATCGGCAGAAACTTTTTCTTTTTTTAAAGCTCTGACAATCCCAGCTGATTTGCCTGATCGGCAGAGGCTTTTTTTCCTTTTAAAAACATTTTTTCTATAACCTCTTCGGCCAAAGAGGTTGTAGAAAAAATGCTTTTAAAAGCCTCTGATGATCCCAGCTGAGCCGCGTGATCATCAGAGGCTTTTTTAATTATTTTTAAAAGCATTTTTTCCTCCAAAGAGGTTGTAGAAAAAATGCTTTTAAATTTTTTTTAAAAAGCCTCTGATGATTGAGCGGCTCAGCTGGGCAATGGGGGAGGCAGGGATTTTTGCTACCGGTTCTCCGAACCATCAACCTCCATTGCTACCTGATCGGGGGATCTGGTCCGAATTGGGAGCATTTCACCCCTGGTTTCCAACCTCTGGGCTATAGCCCATTAATGGATGGTGAGTGCAGTTGCAGCTCCATTTCCACAAGCAATGGGCATGCACTCTCATCTGTGAAGCTCACTGCTTGGACAAATAGACCTTCATGTGTGCACGTGAGAGTGCCTGCGACTTATGCAAGTGGAGCTGCACACCTACCACTCATACAGAACCATTTTTTCTCCCCACCGCCAGTCCACAAAGCTGTAAAAGGTTGGTGACCACTGATCTACATTTAATAACCCAACCAGAAATTTAGAAGACACAGTTTTATCTTTACTGAATTCTGAAACTCTAAACATAATAAATATTTAATCTTAACATAATTGTTCTTTCTCACTTCAACAGCCTCACTTCGTAGTTTGTATATTTTCTATGGCTCTTAGATTCCAAAACAGATTAATATGTAAAACTACTGCTTTTAGGAAAAACAACAATGGCCATCCCTGTATAAAGGCTATGGGTCTAGTAAATTCTGTAGAATAGAAAAACGCTTCTCCTAAACCAAAGATAATTTAAATTAGTAGTTATATTTTTGCCACTTAGGAAAGAAATATCCCTACAAAACAACTACTTATATAAAAGCTTTTATTTTCAAAAGGAAAAGTGTTTTTTATTCAACAAAATTTATTGGTATAACAGTGCTGGGTAACATTATTCCCAATAGGTTTATGTGTAACATCATTCCCAATATATGATGGTACAATTAAACAAACAATTTTTATGTAATAGAAATAAAATAAAATACCTGCCATGGTTGTAAATTCTGAATTATTACTTGTTCTGTTCCTATTGCATTTCTACATCTGGATCTGGACTTGAGTAATGCATGCAAAGAATGTACCAAAACATAAACGGCATTGTAAATATTGTAGCTGTGTCCACTCATGCTCATTTCAAATAATATACTTGGCAGGGTCTCTAAATTCTCATCCCCAGTGCACAATACCTTGTTATTTTCATTTATACCAGAAATGTGCAATGGGCAGTCAAATGCCTGCTCCCAAAAATTCTGAATGAAATTGTCTTCTTTTGTCCAAGATGGCCTTACAGTGTGAAGAAATTCTTGGAATCCGGGAGGCTCTTTTGAGCGAACTGCAAATGACAGAGCACCATAGAAACTCTGTATACCCCAAAGTCTCTGAATGGCCAGGGATTCAAAATTCCAATGGGAAGTAACAATCCATACTTTACCCAAAGGTTGCAGTGAACTCCAAGATGCTACAAGGATGATCACTCTCAGATTTTGCATGGCTGGAGATAGGGCATAAATTAAACAGACTTTGACTTTATCATCCATAAAGAGTTGATCATATCTTACTTCCATTGAAATGAAGTGTATATATTCATCTAGATACGCCTTCGGTGGTGTTCTAAGTATGAAAGCGTAACAAATGCTGTTTTGGAAAAGCAATGGTTCAATTTTCTGCAAAAACATGTCGCCATAGTCATCATCCACAGCCAAAATGCCAATCCAATTCCATCCAAAATGCTGAAGTAATTGAATAACCCCAGTGTATTGATGCATTTCATTTGGGACCATCTGGTATAAGAATGGAAATACATTATTCTCACCATGTGCTGAAGAAAATGTTCCATAGGCAAGCTGAAAGTCAATATATAGCAAATAATCAGAACCATTACATATGAAATGGGATTCATATTCATCATAGGTAAGGCAGAAAGTCAGCACTGAAATGTTGGAAATTATACAGTCAGTTCATATGCCAGCAATATTATATCAATTACCAGTATTGTCTATCTGTGTCGGAGTACATTTTAACTGAATGTGAAAACACTTAAAACACAGCTCAAAACTGAAAGCAAAGCATTTATTATCTGCAAAGGTCTTATTGTTTGACTACCTGAAGGGAATCAAGTACCTTCTATGAAAGGCAAAGTGTTTTCTGTAGTGACCCACTTTGAAACTCAGTGCCAACAGGAGTTTGCTAATCTTCCATATTTGGGGGAAACTGCAAAGAATTCTTAGTTTCTAACTATTTAATCATCTGTACAGTGCTTAATTTCTAAATAATTACTCATCCCTATAGATTACTCATTTATATTAATTGAATGTATAACACAGTGTTCTCCTAGATTTTTTCTCTCGGAATGTCAATTCTGGAAAGGACCCTAAATGTACTTTAAGAATGGAAAGAAATAAAGAAACTTGGGATTTCTAGAGAGCCATCCCAAGGATCTACCTGTGGAATCTTGTAGTTGGCAAGAACTGTGGCCATGTTGAATGAGGTCTCTGTTAAACGTCCTCCAATAGCAGCAATAAATGTTTTCTTTAAATCACAGGTAAAGTTGGGGACAAACTTCTGCTGTGTAGAAAGTAAGCTCAGGATTGCTTTATAGGTAATCCTTGCAGGGAAATAGTTGTTCACAATGTGGAAACCCAATGTGATGTTCGGTAAGAGCTCAGAGTTCTTATTGATCTCCTTGACAGCAAACACCAAAGCAAGGATTTGCTGATACATCTTTGGCAGAGAGCTACAACAAAAAATATCTATATAACTAAAGATTGAAAATGTTGCAAGAGTCTAAAAATAATGGGGGATTTGTGCAACCTGATTGGGAGCTTTATTATCAAGCTGCTATATTAACATGGGTGAGAGAGTAGATCATTCTTAGACATAGAAGATTACTGTTTTCAGAAGATCACAATCTTGAATTAGGCTGGCATGATATTTATGGTATGATAAAAGTAAAACTACTGATATTTTCAAAGACATTATATAAGAAATGTTTTACTTTTAGTATGGGAAAAGGTGAAAGCAAATACACACACAGACACAGACACACAGACACACAGACACACACATACACACATATATATGTATGTATGTATGTATGTATTTATGTATGTATGTATGTATGTATGTAAGTTTTCACGGGTATATATGTGTGTACAGTTAATATCTTGGGTTTCTTTCCGTGTAATTGCTACTACCCTTTTAAGGATATGTTTACAATTACACGGGAAGAAACCCGAGATATTAACTGTACATAAATATATACATATATGCATATATATATATATAACCAAAGACCTACATACAAACACCCGCGAAAACCTGGTGTTACATATATATATGTTTTCTCAGGTTTTCGCTGGTGTTTGTATGTAGGTCTTTGGTTATTCGGGTCTTCTCCCACGTAAAATTGGAAGTGTCTTGGCGACGTTTCGACGAAGTCTCATTCGTCATCTTCAGGCTTCGTGCTTCCAGGAGCAATGTGAGATCGCAGCTGTCTCTTCCTTTTAACTGCTAGTGGGAGTGTGAGCTGATTGGGTGGGAATTTGGCTGTGTTCTGATTGGGTGGAGGTGTGTTCTGATTGGTTAGAGGCTTGGCTGTGCTCTGATTGGCTGGGGGTGTGTTCTGTTTGGGTGGGGGCTTGGTTGTGCTCAGCTTAGTCTGAGTTGCAGGGGGATTTGAGCTGGTGAGCTGCGTTGTTGTTGTTTGGCTTCGTGTTTGTGGCCGTGCGAGCTCTTCATGGTGGGTGTCAGTCTGCTTCATGTATGGATTGGAGGGGTTTAAAGTGGCTAATGATGCAGCTGCGGTCTGGCTTCTGGTCCTTGGTCGTGGCTCATTATCAGTGTGGGTTTGAGTCTGCTTTCTGCGTGGATGTGTGATGGTGACATCAGGTGTGGCACTCGTGAGTGTGGGTCTGGTGTCATTCGTCGTGTTAGGGACTCGTTTGTCAATAAGGGCGGGTTTCATTGCCAACCTCTATATGGAATACTTTGAAACCCAAGCTCTAGAAAAATCCGATCACAAACCCAAACTCTGGCTCAGTTATGTGGACGACACCTTCATAATCTGGCCACATGGGAAAGAAAAACTGGACAACTTCCTCACACACCTCAACAGCCTACACCCCAAAATACAGTTCACCATGGAAACAGAAGTGAACAACCAACTTCCCTTCCTGGATGTCTTAGTCTACAGAAAATCCAATGGCTCCCTAGGACACACTATATACCAGAAGAAAACACACACAAACCGCTATCTGCACGCACTCTCACACCACCACCCTGTCCAGATCAACTCTGTAGCCAAGACACTCATTTCCAGAACAAAACGCTTAGCTGACGAACAACACCTAAAAACCGAACTACACACCCTCACTAACGTACTCACATCCAATGGATTCCAAAGAAATAAGATCACCAACCTAATCCAAAAAGAAACCCCCACTAAAATCCAAGACAGAGAACAAGAAAAAGGCAAGGCCCTCCTCCCATACATAAAAGGCACCACAGACAGAATAAGCAAAATCCTCCACAAACATAACATCAAGACAGCATTCTGCACAAACCGAAAAATATCCACCATCCTAAGGAACCCCAAAGACAAAATTGAGTTAGAAAATCAAGGAGTATATGAAATCCCATGCACCGCCTGCCCCACCACATACATCGGACAAACCAACAGACGAATAAGTGCACGCATAGAAGAACACAAGAACTCAGTCAGAAAAGAGGAACCAACTTCTTCCCTGGTCCAACACCTTAAAGCCACAGGACATGATATTGACTTTAAAAAGACCAGAACTATCGCCAAAACTGAACACTTTAACAACAGAATAATCAGAGAAGCCATCGAGATAGAAAAACGCCCACACAGCATGAACAAACGAGACGATACCTCCCGCCTACCAGCCATTTGGAAACCCGCCCTTATTGACAAACGAGTCCCTAACACGACGAATGACACCAGACCCACACTCACGAGTGCCACACCTGATGTCACCATCACACATCCACGCAGAAAGCAGACTCAAACCCACACTGATAATGAGCCACGACCAAGGACCAGAAGCCAGACCGCAGCTGCATCATTAGCCACTTTAAACCCCTCCTATCCATACATGAAGCAGACTGACACCCACCATGAAGAGCTCGCACGGCCACAAACACGAAGCCAAACAACAACAACGCAGCTCACCAGCTCAAATCCCCCTGCAACTCAGACTAAGCTGAGCACAACCAAGCCCCCACCCAAACAGAACACACCCCCAGCCAATCAGAGCACAGCCAAGCCCCTAACCAATCAGAACACACCTCCACCCAATCAGAACACAGCCAAGTTCCCACCCAATCAGCTCACACCCCCACTAGCAGTTAAAAGGAAGAGACAGCTGCGATCTCACATTGCTCCTGGAAGCACGAAGCCGAGAACACCAGCCTGAAGATGACGAATGAGACTTCATCGAAACGTCGCCAAGACACTTCCAATTTTACGTGGGAGAAGACCCGAATAACCAAAGACCTACATATATATATGTGTGTGTGTGTGTGTGTGTGTGTGTGTGTTTTCCTATGTAGCTCAAGATGTTTGAGGTGGGGTGTGGGGTGATATCTCCCCACTATGGCTATACAAACATCTTGAGCTACGTAGGAAAAAACCCTGACTAGAAAAGTATTATACATATGAACCTACGAATTAAAAGAACAAAATAAAAATAAATATTTGATCTTTACAGGGAGGATATACAATATATATATATATATTGTATTCGGGTCTTCTCCCGTGTAAGAGCACTTTGGCAACGTTTCAACAGAATCACATCTGCCATCATCAGGCTTATGCAAGGGGTCTTCTGCAGCAGCTGCCGTTACTTTTCAAATCTGGTGCTGATAGTCTGCTTTGCTGGGATGGCCCCACCTCTTCATTCTGATTTGTTGAGAGTCACAGTCTGTGTCTATTGGCTTGGCTTCGGGTGTATGGTTGGTTTTTCTCCACCAGGTGGCAGGGCTTCATCTTTGTGGCTGGCTGGAATGTGATTTGGTTGGAGGTCTCGGGGGGGGTGTCTGGCTTCTGGGGTGTAGATTTTTCTGTCTGTGGGTGCTGGGACTCGTTTGTTGACAAGGGCTAGTTTCCAGATGTCTGATAGGTGGGAGGTATCGTCACATTTATTCATGTTATGGGGCCGTTTTTCTATTTCAATGGCTTCCATAATTATTCTTTTGTTGAGGTGTTCAGTTTTGGAGATTAATTTGGTTCCTTCAAAATCAATTTCATGTCCTGTAGCTTTAAGGTGCTGGAAAAGAGAGGAAATTTTTTCTTCTTTTCTGACTGAATTCTTGTGTTCTGCAATGCGTGCATTTATTCTCCTATTAGTGTATGTATGTATGTATGTGGCTGGGCAGATTTTGCATGGTATTTGCATGACTCCTTGGTTTTCTAGCTGGATCTTGTCTTTGGGGTTTCTTAAGATGCTGGCTATTTTTTGGTCAGTGCAGAAGACTGTCTTGATATTGTATTTGTGGATAACTTTGCTGATTTTATCTGTGGTGCCTTTGATGTAAGGGAGGAGGGCGATGTCGTTGTCCTGTTCTGTGTCTTGGTTCTTGGGGGGTGTCTCCGTTTGGATTAGGTTGGTGATAGTGTTTCTTTGGAATCCATTAGAAATTAATACATTTGTGAGAATATGGAATTCAGTTTTCAGGTGGTCTTTGTCGGCTAGGCGTTTGATTCTTGAGATGAGAGTCTTGGCTCTGGAGTTGATCTGTGCAGGGTGGTGATGTGATTGTGCGTTTAAGTAGCGGTTGGTGTGTGTTTTTTTCTTGTAGATGGTGTGTCCTAGGGAGCCATTGGGTTTTTTGTAGATTAGGATGTCCAGAAAGGGAAGTTTGTTGTTAGCTTCTGTTTCCATAGTAAATTGTATTTTGGGGTGTAGGCTGTTGAGATGTGTGAGGAAGTTGTCCAGTTTTTCTTTCCCTTGTGGCCAAATTACAAAAGTGTCATCTACATATCTCAGCCAGAGTTTGGGTTTGTGTTCAGATTTATCTAAGGCGTTGGTTTCAAAGTGTTCCATGTATAGGTTTGCGATGACGGGTAAGAGGGGTGATCCCATAGGTGCTTCTTCTATCTGTTTGTATCTTTGTCCATTGTGGATGAAGTATGTGTTGGTTAGACTATATATATTCAGTAGTGGGATTCTGCCGGTTCTAGGCAGTTCGGCCGAACCGTTTGTTAAATTGCTGGCTTGCCCCGCCCATTGCCCCACCCCTCCGCACCACTGGGCAAGGGGTGGGTGAGCCAGCAATTTAACAAATGGTTCGGTGTTTTTTTATAATTTTATTGGCCTTGCAGCTGCTGTGGGGCTTCAAAGGGCCGCCCTACAGCTAATCAGTGTTAAAAGAAAACAAATGAGTAGACTGACGCCTGCAAAAATAAATGGGTAGACCCAGTAGTTGGATTCTACTTCGGTAGAACCGGTTGTTAAGCGGTAGTTAAGTAGTTAAGCCAGTGGTTGCCAAAGTGGGCGGTACCGCCCCCTGGGAGGTGGTGGAATGCCTTAGGGGGCAGTAAGAGACAAGGGGGGTGGCAGGGGGGGCTAAGTGGCAAGGAGGGTGGCACCCACCCTTTGGCCTGTGCCTCGCAGCACTTACCTCCTTGCAAGCAAACAGCAAGAAAAAACAGCCCTTCAGCTTCAGCATCGGTTAATTAGCACAAGTTGATTAGATCGGCC